GAGACTTCGCCCATTCTCCTCATTCCTAGTTCCTGCGCACTCTGCAGTCACTGAACGTGCAATAGCCAATATGAGGCTTTGCCTCTGGACAGCAGGTGTCCACTGGCCTCCGGGCACCACGCTGTGGCCAGAAGTCAGTGCACAGCTTTGCCTTGTGTATGTCTGTTCAGAGACACCTGATATTTGATTCCTGAATGTCAAGGTCACGGCCAACAGCCCTGTGCCTCACTCTGAGTGAGGCACATGGCAGCCTGCTTGTGCCGAAGCCATGAAACTGTGAAATTGCCCCCAAAATGCAGACAAATGTGAAGACCCTTCTCCAGTAGACGTTTGTTCTAGTGTGAGAACTGACACCAGGTAGGTGAATCTCCGACATCCACTGGGTGGGGACCGCAGGCAGCTCGATTTTTCACATCTCTGCTGTGCATGGTGCAAATGAGGGTGAAAATGGTGATTTGGGGGAATAAAACAGATTTCAATGAACATGTAATGACACATGCAGATGACCAATGGCATCTGGACTGTGGTCAGTGTTTTTTTATTTTTTTCAGGAAATCCTGCAATACTTTTGGATTTAGTGATTTTCTTTGTACTGCTGGCACTGTTTGTTATATCAATACTGGTATGTACACACTGTTTTTATGGATTTATTTATTTATGCATACAGAACTGGGGTACAGGCCAGAAGTGTGGTGGTGACAGGATTTATCAAAGAAAGTATGTGGAGCAGAAGAGGCAGATCTACTGAAACACACTGCTGAAGGGAGAAGTCGGGAGACTGGAGAGGTCTGCTGCGCCATAAGGGTCACTCCCTGGCTGGATCAAACTTGTGCAGAAGCAGCTGCTTATTGCTTCAAGGTGCTATATTTAACCCTTTGTGCCACCTTGGAGGGCCCTCTACACATTCTGTAAATAAGAAAATGTTAAACAAAAAAGATAAAGTTTTCAAATTTGAATTGGTTTTCAAAGGACAGTAAATAAATAGTTTTGACGAAAATGGTTTGAAGTTTCACACATTTCAAAGTGTGACTTAAGTGTGCCAGGTCATTGAGGAGATTCTGCACTGAGGGAGGGGAGAGAGAATCCTGAAGCCATCAGGAGCTTTCCCTGGCCTCAGCGACCTGCTCCCCGCTGGGCCGCAGCCTCTGCTGTCTGTGGTTTGCTCCAACATGCAGATGAGCCTCTGGCCTCTAAGTCAGATTTTGCAAGTAGTCCTTTCTCTTTGCTACAATTGTGAAAAATTTCTCTTCCTTCTGTAGCCCAGGAGAAGTTTCCAGATACGATAGTGCTTCTGTTAGTTGTGTGACCCGGAGCGGGCAGTCATTGCTTCCGGCATTACCTGTGGTGCCTGCTGCACCTTTGGGTCCCCAGGAAATCCTGGCGAGCCTGGCAAGCAGCTCCCAAGCCCTGGGGAGCTGCTCAGCTATTCCCAGGACGATGACACAAACCCCCTTCTCTGCCCAAAAGACACCGACTTGTTGTAAATGTGGAGCTCACGTTCTCGTGGCCCACACAGCTTCCAGATCAGCCTTCACAGAAGAAAACCTGGAGACTAAAGGGATGGCTAAAGGGGAACGTCTCCATGGGGTGGCGGCATCTCGGGTACCTGTCATCTCGGGTGCCTGTCATCTCACATTGTGTCTTCAACCAGGTTTGGACTGGATCTCAGCTTCCTTAAACCTGCACTGCTCAGTACAGTGGGTGCTGGACATAGGTAGTGACTTCAATATAAAGTTAGAAACTAGCATGAGATAAAAGTTAAACTTGAGATTCTCAGTGGCACTAACCACCTTTCAGATGCTCAGAGCCCGTGGCTACCAGATTGGCACCCCAGATACAGAACTCCTCCATCTTTGCAAAAGTTTCTGATGATCATGGCTGACCTGCACTATTAGGGAATGTGTGGGTGCTAGAATATGGATTCTCAGGGGTACCACTGCCATTACAGGTGCAAATCATTAAGATCTCAAGAGCAGTCAATGGGTCACCCCTGACAGGCTATAAAGGTCAGCTGAAGAAATTTGGAGGCATCATTACCCATGAGTAACATTTCAGGGGACTGAAAAACTTCTTTTTAAAAGTTATGTTTTAATTCCCAAATGAGAGTATGGTAGTTAATCGTCTCCTTAACAGACTGGTCCCCAGAAACTGAAATACTTTCCACTCAGTGTTACCATGCAAAACGTGAACCGAAGAAAGGTTGCTCGAGTACCCACAGAACCCCCCAAATTGGCTTATTTAATTTAAAAAGGAGAAGTTCAGTGGGGAGGAAATTGCCACAGCAGAAAGGACTCGTGACCCCATATACCTGGCAAATATTTGTT